ATTGGAATATCGTCTGGACCCCTAGCTTTGTTGTTTTTCATATGCTTGAGGCATGTGATTATTTCTTGTTCTGTTATAGGTTGTACAAGGTTCTGACAACGGGAGTGTTCGTCGAGATGCAATATGTGGGAATTAAAGTTGAGAAGCTCCTGAAAATATTCTTTCCATCTATTCATTATTTCTTTTTCCTTTATTATCAATTTCCCATCTTTATTTTTGATTACTTTCGGAGCTCCGTTTATATCCCTAGAGTTCTTTTCTCGCTGTTTGGCTAATCTGTATATTTTATTTTGCCCTTCTTTGGTATGTAGATCTTCGTACATGTCATCGTATGCCATAGATTTGGCCCTAGCCACCGCCTTTGTAGCTAATCTCTTGGATTTTTTGTATCTTGACTTGTCATCTGCATTTTTGGATTTGTACCATATTTTATAAAGGGCTTTTTTCTCCTGTATAGTGGTTTGTACCTCTTGATTCCACCACCATAGTTCTTTGTGTGATTTGTTGCCTCCTCTTGTCAAGCCTAGCGTCGATTTTGCAGTGTCTATTAATCTGGATGAAAGGTCTGTCCATATTTTTTCACTGACTTGTGAGCAATTTATTGTTTCAATGTTTGCATTGATTGCAAAGGCATCTGTCATTGTTTTTAATTTGCCCCATTTGATGCATGGTTCCAGTTTTATCTTATTTTGAGTGGATTTATTTGAGATTTGTAAATCCATGATTAGTAGCTTGTGTTGCGCGGCGATATCTTCTCCTGGGATGACTTTGCAGTCTATTACATCTTTTAATCTTCTGCGAGAGATTAGCATGTAATCTATCTGTGTTTTCCTAGTACCACTTTCATATGTTATTAAATGACTATCTTTTTTCCTATAGTAGGTGTTGGTTAAGGCAAGGTCGAAGGCTTGCGCAAATTTCAGTACGTGCTCTCCTTCATCATTTCTTTCTCCGTATCCAAAACCACCATGATGCCTTTTGTAGCTATCTCTTGCTTTCCCCACATGCGCATTTAAGTCACCACCAATTATGACTAGGTCATCCTTAGGGATTTCCATTACGGCTTCATCAAGGATAGCTCTAAAGTCATCTTTCTCTTCTTCCTTGCAACCCGTTTGAGGAGCATATACTGATAGGATGTGTAGTATTGATTGACCAATGCAGAGTTTTATCTTCATTAGTCTATCAGAGATCCTGTTGACTTCTACAACTGAGGAGGTTAGATCTTGACTGAGGATGATGCCGACACCGTTCCTATTGCTAACAAGTCCATTATAGTACAATTTATACCCATCTCCAATCATCAAAGTCTTCTGTCCTTTCCATTTCGTCTCTTGTATGCACGCTATATCAACTTTTCTCCTGTTCAACATTGATGCCAATTCTCTCGTCTTACCTTTAAGCGTCCCAATATTCAAACTTGCCAGTCTTGTCTTCTTTGCTTTGACCTTTACTTTATTTTTCACAGGATGGAGGTCTACACCCTGCGCGTCGCATGGAGGGAACGCCCTAGCTTTCATATTCATATTTTCATTTGTGTCCTTCATTTTGTTTATTGGACAGGTATCCTTAGCACCCGGCTGTCCAGGCCTGTCGGTGACCGGGGTGTCATCTCTAAGCTCCGAAATTCATCATACCATATGTCTTTACACATCAGTCATCGAAGAAAAACTTGAAAGTTTTTATGGTTCTTACCAGGATTGAACCCGCGTCCTTGTTCATGCTCGTGTTTCCAAGCCTACATCTTACCCATTAGGCCACCCCGGCAATTTGTGCGCACTATAATACATGCTAAATAGATGTTTAAAAGAACATAAAAAAAAAATAGATAACATTAAAGGTTTTACTAAACTGCAAATGCCAAGGTAAACTACAAATGTTTAGTCATATATATTCTATTAATTTCAGTAAGATTCATTTTCTTATGATATGTATAACTTATAAAAATTATATTATTAGATATAATCAATAAAAAATGATTAGATATTAATAGATGAATTTCCTTTTATCTCATAATAAATAGTTTAAATTCTTTAGTATAAATAAATTAAAAATAATTATAATTACATTTTAAATTTCATTAATATTAAATCCGCAAGTTGGCGTATTAAAGAAACATAAAAATAACAAGGTATATTTTGTGTTTTGGATTAAATTTTATTTCTACTTTAAAAAAAAAAATCAAATAATAATAATGATATGTATAATAATCAACTAGTATATATACTAAAACATTTCAATAGATATTTAAATTAATACTCAATTAACATCAAAATAAATTATTTCACAAATTTGAATAAACAACACAATTAACATTCCCCTCCTCGACAAAGCATCAAGTTGCTGCTCGGTGGGCGCATAAGTCTAAGTTTGAGTCGCGTGAGTCCATACGTTTTCGTAAGTTTGAAAAGTTGTTGTACGTTATCATTATCATAAGGAATAATTGATCAAATTTGAATTATGGAATACTGAATAAAATTTTAAATTTGAAAAAAAAGAATTTGGAATAAAAATTTTGGAATATGGAATGATAAATATGTAGAATTCCGTAAGAATGATAAATCAAAAAAGATTATTATAAAAATTTCGCGTTTTTTTTAAATTTTGCGTTTTATATATTTTATTTTAATAATTTAAGTAGCGTTTTAATATTTTATTTGTACCGTTTTAATATTTTATTTTATTTTAATAATTTAAGTTGCGTTTTAATATTTAATTTATTTTTATTTATTTTCAATCTCCGAGGTTTAAATATGCAAATAAAATATTATTCACATTTCCCTCTCTTTAAATAAAAAATTTAAATTTCACACCCTAGTTTTATTTCAAAAAGTGTTATTTTTAATAAAAATTCTTCATAAGATAATTTTTAGAAAATGATCTCATCACATCAATTAAATACTTATCTAAAATGAAGATGTTACATAACTTGTCTTCATTTATTTCAAAAACATTTTTATCATATTAAGTATTACTTATAAGGGTTATTTAAATCAATCATGTGATTTAAACCTTTTAATTCATGTTTTAATTACATTTTAATATATTTAAAATTAAAGTTTTATCTTCTTGTTTAGGATTTTTAATGGTTTATTTTTAATTATATCTAAAAATTCATCTTTAGGTTTAGTTAATTAACAACAATTGGTCATCATACAAGAAATCAAAAAAATATCAATATTTCACTAAGAAATTAAGTAAATAATTTTTTTAAGGCTTTTTATATGTTCTAATATGTCCATTATTGATTTACATTTAAGTTATTTTAATAAGTAAATTTACAACATGCCTTTATCTCGGCATAAAATTTTAATTTATAATAATTTTCTTCTTACGTGGATTAGAATAATAAGTAATCATCATTGGTCTCACAATATAGAATTCATAACCTAACGTCCAACTTCCATATTGGTTCTTTCTAGGTTGTCACATTAGGTTAGGTGCTGGTTATCATATTCCAGTCCAACATCCAGAGCCAGGACACCATGAAGAAAGAAGCTTTTTGCATGAAAGAACGTACTAAGGTATGATTCTTGGTCATATCAATAGATAAGGTAGTCATCTCAATAGATTAGGTAGTCATATCAATAGATTAGGTAGTCATATCAATAGATAAGGTAATCATCTCAATAGGTAGTAATCTCAATAGGTTAAGCAGTCATCTCAATAGGTAGCTCACTTTTGTATATGTATATATCAGAATAATATTTGACTATATATATATTTTTTTTAAAAACAAGTCATGTCCTTCGAATTTAATTTAATTTTTACTTTTTTTTTAATTTTAGGCAAATTTTATATATTTTCTTCTTTTTTTTTTACAAAAACGTACCGGGGCGCCATTAAAGAAACAAGAAAATAACAAGTTATATTTTGTGTTTTGGATTAAATTTTATTTCTACTTTAAAAAATCAAATAATAATAATGATATGTATAATAATCAACTAGTATATATAGTAAAACATTTCAATAGATATTTAAATTAATACTCAATTAACATCAAAATAAATTATTTCACAAATTTGAATAAACAACACAATTAACAGCGTATTATTATTTTAAGAAAAAAATTACAAATTTACTTTGTTTTAGTATTCAGTAATAGTATGATTTGTTGTAACACATTTTCATAATGTGAAAAAACCAGTGTTGTTAAAATAGCGTACTTAGCGCGCTACTTTTTTCAGTAGCGGTAGCTATAGCGCGCTACTTTTTAAAAAAAATAGCGATAGCGGTAGCTCGCTACTAATTTAGAAAGTAGCGAAGTTTTACATAATAAATACATCTAAAAATTATTAAAATATATTTTTTATAAAATCTAAAATTATAATCCTTTTATTTAATTTAATTTTGAAATTTAAATTTAAAAATATACATTATTGTTATATATTAGATATAAACAGTTGTTAAATAGCAATCTGTATTTAATTTATATTTCGCGCATTCATTAAATTATATATTTTTGAAATTCCGTTATTGGTATGTCCTTGCTTTTATCTTATTTTATATTTCATTTTACATTTTATATTAAGCATTATAAATCTTGTTATGTTTGAGATTGTTGAAGATATTGTAATTTCTTTGGAAAATGAGCAAAATATAGATGATCCTTTCCCAAAATTCAAGAAATACTTTAACCCTGAAGAAAAAATTAATACTGGATATCGGTTTCGGTGCAAGATGTGCCACAAAATTATCTCTTCAAATCATACGAGCAGCTTTAATTTGAAAAAACATTTAAAGGTAATATATTAAACAAATTTAATATCAATGTGTAGGCTAATCTTTAATTTTTAAAATAAATTAAAATCAAAAACCAATCATTTTTTTTTTATTCATAAATTTTATCTAAATTATTTAAAACATTTTAAAATAGTTATTTCAATCATTTTTATGTACTTATCTCCTACATAATTTTTATTCCAAGTATTTTATAATTTTAGACTGTGCACACTTCAAATTATAAAGAGATTGAAAAATATCTCAAAAGTTTTGGGGTAATGGAAGAAGATAAACCCACTTCCAAATCAAATTTAATACAAACAAAATTAACCAATTTGGATTCATCAACACCTGGTGTATCCCAAAAATTGGCTGACAAAGTCATTATGAACTTTATAATAGATACTGTTCAACCATTATCCTTGGTGGATAATGATTCTTTTATAAAGATGATAAACACTTTTTCTCCACGGACCAAGATATTTTGCCGGCAGACATTGATGGCAAGAATTTTGGAGAGCTTTAAGGAAATGAAAGAATCTTTGATATTAAATCTATCAGATGTCTCCTACGTCTGTACAACGGCAGATTGCTGGACTCACAATAGAAGGTAAAAATGTTTATTTTCTTAATAATAATATGTCATATTTTTAGAGCTTATTTAGGAATAACTGCACATTGGATTGATCCTAAAAATCTTAAACAAAAATCTGTAGCGTTAGCTCTAAAGAGAATAATTGGCTGTCAGACTTATGACATTCTAGCCAATATTATTGCAGAAATCCATAGGTCTTACAAAATTCAAAACAAGGTTTGTAAGATGATTACGGATAATGATAAATAATATTATATTATATTTAACCATTTTAATTTTTTAGGTTATGCAATATGTTGCTGCCTCACTTAAAATCTTAGAAGTGCAAGATAATATGAGGATGGGATATTATGTGCCCACACTGAGTATATTAATTACCAAGCTCAAAAGAATCAATAATCTAAAATTTTGCCAACCACTGGTAGAGTCTATGCTAAAAGGCATTGAGAAAAGGTCAAACTTTATTTTTATTTTTATTTACTATTATACAATTATATAAAATGAATGATTTATTGCTTGATTAGCCATAATTTAAATTGGCTTAATTTACAACACAATCTATAATATTAATATATAGTAATTATTAATTAATATAAAATTCAAAATTAATATATTATTAATTACCTTGTGTATAATAATTATATTTTAAAATTTTTATTTACCATAATTTATTGCTATTTTAATATTTTTTTTATAAATGAATCTAAATCTCAGATAAATTTAAATTTTAAAAATTAAAATGGTATTCTTCTTTTTTTTATAATAAATACAATCGTTTTATATAAATTAGATTTCCAGATCTGTATGATGATGATAATGTAATAGCTGCTATCGTTCATCCTAGTTTCAAGTTAGGCCATACATTAATTTGACTGAATCTAAATGGCAACTTGATAGGCTGATGGTAACGTTAAAAAATGGCATGCCTAACCACGATACTATAGCAAGATCGAAACCGCAGCCTTCCATAGACGATTTTTTTGAAATAAATAATAATAATAATATTGAACCTCTAGATGCTTTTTTTAAATCTAAAAATACTAATTTAAATATTTTTGATGATTTTTTTCATATAAAAAGTTTGTTTATTAAATTTAATACTGCGTTGCCCTCAAGTGCTAGTGCTGAACGATTATTTAGTATGGCAAAGCTTATACTTTCTGATCGTCGCTCTAGACTTGGGGATGACAGTACCGAAATGTTATTATTATTAAAGTGCAATAATAAATAAATTATATATATATATATGTAACAAATTATTGTCATGTTTTTATATCAATATTTTATTTGTGGAAATAAAGTTACGTAAAAAAAATATATTTAAAAAAAAAATCAAAGTAGCGTAAAAAGTAGCTAATAGCGCGCTACTCATTTGAAAACGATAGCGGTAGCGATAGCGCGCTACTTTTTTTATAAAATAGCGGTAGCGATAGCGCGCTACTTTTAAAAGTAGCGTTAACAACACTGGAAAAAACATTATTATATAGTTAAATAACTTTCCATAAATATTGTAAAAACATTTTGATAAAATTTTTAAAAATTTTTGATATATTTTTTTTAAAATTTTTTTAATAATAAGAGTTTTTAAACTTAACGAAGATTAACGTCAAAGTTATGAATCGAATATAATTTTTTTTATGTTTTGGACTCAAGTTTAAGTGGGAAAATGAGAATAAAAATTTTCTAAGGTTTTTAGAATATTTTTTTTTAAATGCATTGTAAATTTTTTTAAATTTAAAGTATTATTACAATATATTAATGTTACTTTTAGTTATTTAAAGAAGGAAATTAGGATAAGTTCATAATTTCTTAATAAACATAAGTGAAAGAAAATTTGAATTTAGGGTTTACAGATAATTCTTATTTTTTATATTTTTTTTTGGTTTTAAAATTAAATAAAATTTAAAATTTAATTGTTGTAGTTGCTTTTATTAACCTAAAATGACGCATACCAAAAATCATCGAGATGTGTTACCAACCATTCTACCCATAACGGAAGCCCCGGCACTTCAATTTAACTTTCCGTAATTATTGTAAAAACTTGTTGAGAAAAATACATCTTAAAGAAAATTTTGAGAAAAACATTATATTTTTAAAAACTTCCGGTAACCTATGCACAATAGGAATAAGTGGATTGAAAAAATTCACAATAGATGGGGCTTTTATTGCGATAAAATTCAAGGCATACCTGGATGAATTAATCGCACTTTTACCATCAAATTCATTACTTATAATAGATAATGCTCCTATACATCGAGCTTGGATAATTAGTGATTATCCAAATATCATATTTTTCCACCCTATTCGCCGCAATTATATCCGATAGAAATTTTTTTCGGAGTAATTAAAAATCAATATAGATCAAATTCTCCTAAACCAAACAACCGAAATGAAGTTATTTCATTTGTTACGAGTATTTTAGGCAATTATTTTACATATAATTTTTCAAATTTTTATTCTCACACTATAAAGTTTTTTGAAGAGGGAATTCGATGCATTCCTTTAAATGATTGAATTTGTAATTGATTTATATTGTGTAATATTTTATTTACATAGAATAATTAAATGATAAATGGTTTTTTTTTATTTTGGTGTTTCGAATTGATCATAAAAAATTCTAACAAATAAGATCTGAAAACCCTAAATTCGAGTTTTCACTAATGATTATTTAGGAAATTATTCAAATTTCTTATCCTGATTTCCATTCTTTGGATAACTAAAAGTAAAAATAAATGGAAAAATGCTTTATATTTAAAAAAGGTATTTTTTTTTTTGACGGGTAAATTCTCTCTTTATTTCAATAGTTGCTGATATAATATGTTATCAAAAGTTTATAGCAAATAATAAATTTTTTTATATGGTAAAATTAATAAAGGTAAAAAATATAAAAATATAATTTGCGAAAGAGGGTAAGGGATAAAAGAATATTCTTTCTTTCTTTCTTTCTTTCTTTCTTTCTTTCTTTCTTTCTTTCTTTCTTTCTTTCTTTCTTTCTTTCTTTCTTTCTTTCTTTCTTTCTTTCTTTCTTTCTTTCTTTCTTTCTTTCTTTTAATAGGAAAGAGAAGGGAGAGAGAGAGCATAGACATAGGAGATTATTCAATGGAAGAGATGAAACTTAGGTAGTTAGAGCGAATGATGGCGGTAGCAAGTCTCAGAAATTTTTTTTTATATAATATCTTTTTAAAATTTTAATTTTTCCACTTAACCCTTTCGGTCGCGGTAGTGCAAATATAAAACCACCTTTTAACCTTTATATCTTTTAAAGGAGTTGATCATATAAAATGAAACCACCACGAATATATATTAAAAGATATTCTTTTTCATATGTTTGTGGAGGAGTTATTTTTTAATTTTTTTTTTCGCGCCTTTATTTCAAAATACGTTTTTTACGGTGATTTTTCTTAAAATTCCAATTTTAATTATAAGTAAGTATATTTATCAAATATTTTTAAATATATATATTCCTCACTATTTTATCTATCTTTCTAATATTTATTTTTGCTCAAATAAATAATATTTATATATTATTTTGATCTTTTTAATGTGGTATATTAAACTAACCACTGCCACTTAACAACAATATTTTTAATATTTATTTTTTTAAATAATTGATAAATTTTGCCAACTCATTTCGCAATAATTTTAGCTTGTTATATATATGGATGATTATCTGGACATTCCATCTGAAGGTTCTTCGTTAGACAACTCATCCACTGATTCCGAAGATGATTATGAATCGGATACACGTTACCAAATTGATAGTGATGATTATGAATCGGATACACCTTATCAAATTGAAATTGATGACAATTCTGAACAAGATGCGTATGATCAATCTGCTACAAACCATAATAATCCTATCTGGTCCAAGAAATATTCTTCACAACCAGCATTAGAATTTGATAAAATATCAGGTCCAATATCATCTTTAAAAACGGACCCATTGTATCCATCAGATATATATAAGAAATTTATTAATGATTCTCTAATAAATACAATTACATTCAATACCAATTTATATGCCCAACAAAAAAATATTAAATATCAACCAACTAATCCTACAGAAATAAGAAAATTTTTATGTCTTCATATACTCTTTGGAATTAAAACTATGGCAAATTACAAAGATTATTGGAGTTCTAAACCAGAATTCCATGACAATTTTGTTTCATCCATAATGAAAGTAAAACGTTTTATTTGGCTTATGGCCCACATCCATATAAATGACAATATCTTAGAACCATCGAGAAATGATGAAAATTATGATAAATTATACAAAATAAGACCATTCATTGATAATATCCGTTCCTCTTGCTTGAAATATTTTCTTCCCTCGAAATATCAAGCAATTGACGAAGGAATGATTAGGTTCAAAGGCCGTATAGGATTTAGGCAATACATGCCTAAGAAACCCACGAAACGCGGTTTCAAGGTAATGTGTAAATTTTGTCATTATTTATTTCGGCTAAACTATATTTTTAGGTTTGGATGAGATGCGATAATTCAGGATATATGAATGATTTTAATATCTATGTTGGGAAAAATAAAGAGGTTGAAAGTAATCTTGGTTATAATGTTGTAACAAAGTTTTGTGAAGGACTTCAAAATCATAAAATATTTTTCGATAATTATTTTACGAGTTATACTCTAATGGCCGATTTAAAAAAGAAAGGTATATATGCTAGCGGAACACTAAACAAAAATAGGAGATACTTGCCCATAAAGAATATGGAAACAAAATTAAAAAGAGGTGAGTTTGACTGGAGAAGTGACAAAAATAATATAAATATAATTAAATGGCGAGATAATCGTGACGTATTTATAATGTCCAATTATATTGATCCGAGATCAGTGGATACTGTGAAGAGAAAAAATAAAAAAGGGGAAGTTTTTGACGTAAAATGTCCAATAATGATAAAGATGTATAATAAATATATGGGGTCTGTTGACCATTTCGACCATTTAAAGTCTTTATATGAAATTTCGCGAAAGTGGCGAAAATGGTGGCTACCAATATTCTTTTGGCTGATAGATGCGGCGATTATCAATTCATTCATAATATACAATATTCTTACAGATAATAAACTCTCATCGAAAGAATTCCGAAGACAAATAATTGCTAGCGAATTGGCATACTGGAAAAATGTTAATAGGGATGATAATATTCATAATGATAATAATTATATATCAATGCAAAGAAAAAATAATAAACCTTATATCCTTCCAGAAATTAGACTAAAAAATTCAGCTCATCAACCTCAGGCAGGAACCTCACGAAGGTGTACCTTCTGTAGTACAAAGTTAAATCCCAGAAGAACAAGGTGGTCGTGCAAATCATGCAACGTACCACTCTGTCTAAATAAAAATAGAAATTGTTTTGAAAGTTTCCATAAGGTGTCAATGATATGAATTTAAAACCACCAGGGAGAGCCGCCATTTTGAATTTAAAAAACTTTTTTTGTGTGTTTTATATTATATTATATTAGAATCAATAAAAAAATTAGTAAATATCGTGTTGTATCATATTAATTTTATGAGGGAACCTAAAGGGTTAAACTTATGTCCAAAACAAAAAACTATATTTCATTCATAACTTTGACGTTAGTCTTCATTAAAGTTTAAGAACTTTATTATTAAAATTTTTTTTGAATTCTCATTTTTCCACTTAAACATGTGTCTAAAAAAACTATTTGATTCATAACTTTGATGTTAGTCTTCATTAAAGTTTAAAAACTTTTAAAAATTTTTATAAAAAATTAATTTATATCAAAATGTTTTTTACAATAATTACGGAAAGTTATTTAACTATATAAGAATGTTTTTTCACATTATGAAAATGTGTACAACTAATCATATTATTATTGACGTATTTCACATGTTTGATTATTATTTTAAGAAAAAAATTACAAATTTTCTTTGTTTTAGTATATTTTAAAATCATATATTATTATTCAAAAAGGTGTTTGACGTATTTCACATGTTTGACTAAAGCGCAAATGCCAAGGTAAATTCTATTCTCTATTAATTGGTGTCAGTTCCTTTTCTTTAACTTATAAAAATTATATTATTAGATATAATCAATAATAAATGAATAGTCATTAATAGTTGTATTTTCTTTTATCTCATAATAAATAGTTTAAATCTATTAATATAATTATCTTAAAAAAAGTATTATAATAACATTTTAAATTATAATAATAATTTTTTTCTTGAAATAATAATACGCCAACTTGCGGATTTAATATTAATAAAATTTAAAATGTAATTGTAATTATTCTTAATTAAATTATACTAAAGGATTTTATAACTCTTTATTATGAGATAAAAGGAAATACAACTATTAATATCTATTCATTTATTATTGAATATATTTTTATAAGTTATTTATAGAATAAGAAAATGAACCTCGCTCCAATTAAGAGAGAATATAACAAAAATTTTTACCTAAGCATTTGCAGTTTACCTTGGCATCTGCAGTTTACCTTGGCATGTGCAGTTTACCTTGGCATTTGTAGTTTAACTTGGCATTTGTAGTTTAGTCAAACCGTAACATTAATATGTTTGTAAATTAAAATTATATGCCATCCCCATTAAATAATCATTAATCGGGCGATTTACATAGTCAGATACGATTAATTTAATATTTTCAGTTGTATTCCGATATACCTTTCTTGATCTCGGGGGTTGCATACGAGAAATATTCAATTTTTGCTTCTGGTAACGATTGTTCTAAACGTAGAGCATCTAAAAATTTCCAAATAGAGGGATGTGCGATGATAGCAGAAATGATGGAAAAAGGTATTTAAGATTTAACATAATTTTGGTTATTCTTATAGTATTTATCAGGGGGGTATATTGTTTTTGTAACAGAACTCAAATATTTACTCACTTGAAATTTTTTAAATTCTTTTTTTATTAATCCAATTGAAAAACAAAATAATACTATAAGAATTTTTTATGAATAATTTATTTCCAGAAGAAACATATAAGGACCAATCCATGTCAAATCGATCAAAAAAGGCACATTTTCGGCCGACCTCTTTTAAAACGGTTAAAAATTTCTGGAATTATTTAGATGGGTATATAAATGAGAAAGCCGGTTATTTTAGCTCGCTAAGCACACCTGGTTCCCGAGATATAGGGGTTCAAAAGTGCAAAAAAGAGCCACCTTGGAATCTATAAAATTTTTAAAATGCTTATATCTCAAAAACTATTCATAGTAAAAAAATATATAATATATCATATTGTAGGTAAAAGAAATCTAAGGGCTATCAAAAAAATAATAAAAATTGGCGCCAATTTTAGTCTTTAACTTTCGGTTTACTTATATTGCTTCACCTGTATTTTTTAGCAAAATAGGGAGTTTGTTTTCGAATTTTTTTTTGCTTTTTATTTAGACACCTTTTATAAATATATATACGATGTCAAAACCTTGGCGACGCTATTGACTTTTCCGAAACATACATTTTTACCAAAAATTGAAGAAAAAAGTAGATGGCGCTAATGATTAAAAAATATTATTCTTAAGGAAAATAAAAATATTGATACGTTTATAAGAAATGTGATAAAATTTTCCAGTTCTGCCCCCTCCCCCTCCCACCACCCTAAAAAGTTTTACATTTTTTAGACCTCTACTATGCTATAATCGCGAATGACTTATTAGCTCTATAATGAATAACAGCTGCAGTAAAAACGAATATTTTATTAGGCATATTATCGATTTTATTTTTGTTTAAAAAACAATCTCTATTTCTGGGTAATATTTTTAACTTGTCCGTTCAGATTAATTTTAAATAATTCAACCCGTCTGCAGCTTATTATTTTATCGTCTGTCTACCAATATTCGGGATTTGGAGAGTGCAAAAACATATATTCTAAATGCAGATCAATTAAAATTTTATTTTATATCACAGATGGACGTACCAAATATTAAAATGTTGTAACCCATTTAATCTACAGAGACATGCTTATTATCGCGTGAATCTAAGAAAGATTCTACCCTGTATGACCAAAAAAAATTTACCATTCAATTTAAATATATGCTCTTCATGCCGACAAAAATTAGCAAACATTCCTTATACTTCACATGACAATGTAGATATTGATTCTCCCACTCTTATAATTAATCAAGAGGCTATTGATAATATGAATATATCCCGGGAATCTTTCATTAAGAGAAAACGCTTATGTGAAAAGAAATATTCGAAGAAAATATCTAGAGTAAAAAAAAGTTTTAACGACTATAATTACACCATTATCTTCATCAAATGATGAAAAATTCGATGAAATTCTGGACACCTTAAAAATTAAAAAAATTATATGAAAGATATTTATTATTGGAAATTTGTTGCATTTAATGGGCATTTGCTTTCTCTGCTCCTCAGTTTAATTAGTATATTTAATAGAAATTCAAAATTTTTTAGTATAAAAAGTGAAAATATCCGGTTATTGATAAGTTACAGCAAAATTTTAACCATAATCCGTAATTCCATAAAGCGCCATCTATTTTTACATCAAAATTTGGAGTCGATAGCGTCGCCAAGGTTTTGACATCGTATGTATTTAGCAAAGGTGTCTAAATAAAAATCAATAAAACTTTTTTAGAAAAACCCTTTTTTGCTTAAAAGCATAGGTAAACCGGAGACTAACGGCTCATATTGACGCCAATATTTATTGTTTTTTAACTAAAGCAATCGTTCAAAATCGTGAAAGAATAATTGCAATGTATGCGCTGCACAAACATAACATTATATATGATTATAAATAGATTCAGATTTTAAAATTCTCCACGCTGCTTTTATATTAGCGGCATTATCAGTAACTAAAGATTAAACTTTTCAATTTATGAATTACATTTTTAAATTCCTGGGCAATATAATCTGCCGAATGACGATTTTCCTTAGTATTTAAAAATTTGTAGAATACTGGAACAGGCGTCATCAATAAAATTATTAATACTCTCGTTTCTGATATTGCTCCAGCCATCTGATACAATCGATAAGTGAGGAGATTTATCTATTATTCTGCACTCGCCCATATCTCATGACGCTTTCTCTAGAAGATAACCAGCCAGCTGCCTTCGGACTTAATTTTTTAAAGAATTCTTGGATGTAGAGATTTTGTGATGTGGAATAGTAAATTGCTCGCATATACATCCTTTTGCAAACAATTGATCCAGCTCATTTTTTTCTTGGGATTCATATCCATGAAACCGGTTATACATTGAATAAAATTTTTCCTCAATTATGGCAGGGCACATAGTACAGCTGCTTAATAAATGCTTGACCATTCTATCAACGTGTGTAATATAGGACATCTTGCAAAACCTACATACCGCTTTAACTGATTTACCATCTCGTACTTCTTGAAAATGTTTCTAAACTTGATTCTTTATTTTGACCGTAATCCCTAATATATTAAAATTTAACTATAAAAGATTTTGATTATTGTAAAGTTAATCAATCAAATTATTTTATAATTATCGCCAATTATTTCAATAATTTGGCTTAATATTATATATAATATAATATATAACCTTACCAGAATTGAATAAATTATTTTGTAAATCTTACCAGAACAACTAAAAAGAAAATTAATTTATAAATTCAAATGTAGCAAGTGGAAGTAAAATAAATGAGAATTAATATAATTTATACTCGGCTAAATATTAAATAAAATTTAAATTCATTAAAAAATAAACCATGACAGCTAAATTATTATATTTTTTTAATTAATCCTTTTTTTACAAATAATAATATATTAAAAGAATGATTGCGCTAAATAATCAAAAAAAATATTCATCACCAAAAATGAATGAATTCACTATTTAACATAAAAAAAACGACCCAAGATTATCAAATTCACTTCGAAAATATATTTTTTTAAATTAATTATTTTCCAGGGTTGTTTTTTAATAAATAGATCTGTTATTAATTGTCCATTATTTTTTGATAGTGGAGTTTCCTTGGATTTAGTTATATTTTATTTATCTTGTAACTCTCTTTAAATGATTTTTGTGATACTTTTTAGATGTCTCGTCAATAAAAAAATAATTTTAAATAAATTAACACCTATTTCATAATTATAAGATTGATCTCAAAATTGATATATATTTTTATAATTAAATTGTATAAATGTTTTAATTTTTTAATAAATTATTATGTAAAACTCTTAGTTATGATTATGAGTGTACGATTACAATATCGATATTACTTACAACAATGTTAAAATATAGTAGAAAAAAATTCATAAATTTACGGGATGTTAAAAAAACTATTAAAAATCGGTATTGTATCGGTTTTATGAAAAGATGGGCCTATTTCTTCAATCATAATGTCAAATTGGCACCATATCGATATTAATATCGGTGCAACCCTAATCAAAAATTATAAAAGAATATTAAAAAGTAAAAAATGAGGGCTTAACATAATTTCCTTTGAGAATGTAGGTGAATCCTTTGCTTTAATGATAAAATTTGAAAGGATTGCCCGAAAAACACCAAAAAAACTTTATGAAACCAGCAATTATAAAGACCTTAGAAGATATTATTATCGGGGCCTCCCTGAATTAATACTACTGTATTACTGATTAAAGATATAAATTAAGATATTCTTTCCTAGTGTCGTTTTTAACTGGTAATTTGTAAGATATAATTTTTAAAATAACAATAAATTTGAGTACAAAAAACATTTTCTACTTTTTAAAAATTAGAGGTTAAATCTTAATTTATTTTATGATTTAGGACTCAAGCAAAAATTGAGCAAGAAACTCGAAGAAACTGCCACAAATTTTCAACACAATCACCCTGAAAGTACTTTCGGCGCAACCCTAGATCATCTTTCCAAACAGCTGGCCAGCTCCATTCTTCCAATATCGGAACGTATTTTTAAAACAGAAGCTAACCCTATATTATGTGAATCGAGTAAGGATATCGTTAAGTATCAACAAGACTTATCATTTGATAAGCCCGATACGGTTGGCAGTGAAGAGAAATTCATGCTGAACTCTTTTGAGATAAAAGATTTGTCCAAAAAGCCCATATTTATATCCGAAAAACAGCCGTCGGAGTCTATAATATCTTACAACAAACATAGGGAAAAAGTTACCACTGATAATAATGGCAAACTGATTGAAAAACCGCCCGAGGAACCGATTGAAATTGGGAATGATCCTTTGCACGGTCAAATGGAAAATCTTACTCACGAAAAACTATTTGCATCCGCTAATAATAAACAATTAATTACAAATGAAACCGATCGGTTAAGAACCGATATAGGGTTCGCAACACAAGATGCTAATCAAATACACGGCATTGACAAATCTACTGAAACTCAATCCAGATATTCAAATATGGTTTCTACAAGATCTAGTTGTAATTGCCTGATTAAACATTCATTGAAACTTCCATCTTCCCCTCTTTTTTTATTCTCGCTCAGCATAGCCTTGCTATCCATTATGATTATATTACTAATTTCCCTAACTTCCAACTATCCGATCTCATCCATTTTAATCAGTTTTATTTGCGGTTCGGGTTTTTGCTTTCTAGCTATTCATCTTTACGAAACAACGTTCGGCCAATGCGAATATCAGATACCGTATTGGAAACCAATTTTAAAATCAGCTCCTCTTTACCATATCGACGGAAATTACCAGTATATCCATCCAGTTTTAAATCGTAATATCGAATATCGGATTTGGTATAGGGCGTTACTTGAAAAAATGGGCATTTGGAAATCGAAAATCGAGATCGATCATGTTATGAAAGCCTATATCACCAACAAAGAAGAATGCGCTAAATTAAATAGTATGGAACATTTCGAATATATTAATTTATAGTAAAAAACGCAAGATGAGAAATGTATATAAAAGGGAAACAAATTTTTTTATTATTGCAACCTATAATATTAAATCACATAATATGTTATTTTCAGATGCGAACGAATATGCGACTATACCTTCTCCCGTTTCTTCCAAAACCAGGGTTCATAATAGGAAGAACGTCTTTAGGCTTGAACCGCATCAAGTTATTTTCCAATCCTTACATTTTTATTAAACTTACCAATCTTTTGTCTATTAATTCTATTTTCACATCCGGTGTGCCCTATGTAGAGTTGGCACATTTTTTTACAAACAAAATATTATTTGATTAAATCACATTATTTTTTTTATTAAAATCCAATCATATAATAGAATGAAATTAATTTTTAAAGTGCTTTGCAGGAAAATAACTCCATGCATTACCTTAGTTCCTATTCCTGTGAAATTTTTTAATATTCCATTGCTTAATTAGCAATATTAATTTTACTTAGTATTTTATTATCAATATTTAATATTGATAATTTATCAGAGACCTGCAGAGGCACCATTTGCACGTCCCATGAATTTTTTTTTAAAATTTTTTTTCTGCCCCGCCCGGGTTTTATATCTTCAAGCCCAGCCCGATTTTTTTTGAAATAAATTTTTCGAGCCGGTGTAGTATTTTAAAAACAATACCATCTAAATTCAATTCAAAATCAATACCGTATTGATAATTTATGACCGAACCTCAACTCTTAAGAATAAAACCTAAAATTTATGAATGAAATTGGTACATTTAAATTTATAATTTATCAAGCAATAACAATTAAATATCAAAATAGGAGAATATAAGTAACAGAAAAATATCATTTGCTGCTAATACTTAGTGACGGAAAATATCCTTCCTTTACTGCTTTAAAATATCACAAATTTTTTAATGATGGTACACTTAAATTTATAATTATAATTTTATATCAAGCAAGTACAGATAAATGTCAAAAACACCTCCGTTTTTATATAATATTGTTTTATTTTATATTTGATATGTTAATTTTAATATGTTAATTTTAATATGTTAATTTTAATATGTTAATTTTAATATGTTAATTTTAATATTAATTTTATTTCTATATATATTTTTAATTTAAAAATAAATGACATTAGTACAATAAAAAAAATAATTCAAAAAAAATATATTCTTTATTGCTAATACTTATAACAGGAAAATATTCTTCTTTATTGCTTTAAAATATCACAAAATTTTTAATGAATCAAATTGGTACATTTAAATTTATAATTATATTTATATCAATTGCTGCCAATACTTGCTTTAAAATATCACCTAATTTTTAATGAATCAAATTGGTACATTTAATTTATAATTATATTTATATCAAGCAATAACAATTAAATATCAAACCATAAGAGAATATAAGTAACAGAAAAATATCATTTGCTGCCAATACTTAGTGACAGAAAATATCCTTCCTTTACTGCTTTAAAATATCACAATTTTTTAATGATCAAATTGGTACATTTAAATTTATAATTATAATTTTATATCAAGCAGGAACAGATAAATATCTAAAATATCCTTTATTGCTAATACTTATAACAGGAAAATATTCTACTGCTTTAAAATATCACAAAATTTTTAATGAATCAAATTGGTACATTTAGATTTATAATTATAAATTTATATCAAGCAATAACAGATAAATATCAAACAATAAAAGAATATATAGTAACAGGAAAATATCCTTTACTCCTTAAAAATGATCCAGGTAAAAAAAGTAATTTTTGATGTACGGCAAACAATTTTATTTTTAAAGAAGATATTCTTTATAGAAAAATAAAGATAAATGTGATCACAAAATAATAATTTCTATTTATTTATTAGCTTTAGTAATAATGGATGAAGCAGAGAAACAAAGGGTAATATCTATTATTCACCAAGGATCAGATATATCCCTAGAATCTTAAGCTATTGGTGCCCACCTATGCATTAATAAAACTCAACTTAAACTCTCTGAAAGGTATTTATTATGGTGTTAATTTGTTAATTTTGTGTTTATAGATATTGGTGGCCAAAATTATTTCAAGACACTTTTGATTTTATAAAATCATGTGATAGATGTCAGAAGGCCAATACAAGATTTTCTAAAATTTCTTCTACTTTGAATTCAATAGATGTACCACCTCTTCCATGGGCTCAAATAGGAATTGATCTTTGCAGCCTGCCCACTTCAGAAGAAGGCTACACATGTATTGCAGTTGCCTCTGATTATTTCACAAAATGGGTTGAGGCAGAGCCTATGAAATCAAAGACAGCTGAAGAGACTTGTAAATTTATTTATAAATTATATAAATATATATCGGTTAAAAAATGATTTATGATAATTTATAAACTTTTGATTTTATACAATATAGATACAAATCAATGATCAAGGCCGAGAGTTTGTGAATGTGGCCACGAGACTACATAAAATGACAGGGACGGAGCAACGCATTTGCAGTGCATATCATCCTCAAGCTAATGGGTTGACAGAAAGGAATACTATTCAAAACTTAATGTTAAAGGTTTTGAGTGATGATCAAACACTATGGCCTAGGGTTCTTCTGGGGGTACTGTTTGCAATGCGAACCAGTGTCCACAAATCTACAGGATTCACCCCATTTTATATGATGTATGGTCGGAACGCAAAGCTGCCATCAGACTTAAATTCGAAAATTGAGCCAGATATTGTTAAGGAAATCAATAATAATATTGAGAATGACTTTGAAGAGAGTGAATTATTAGAAAGAATAATGAGCCTATCAGTCTTATGGAAAAGGGCAAAAGAAAATATACTTGTTGCCCAAGATAGACAAAAAAGGATTATCAAAAAAGAAAAGGATAAAATTCCTTATGAAGTCGGGTAACAGGTCCTGATCTGGAACTCACGACGTGCGTATAGAAAGGGTGGATAAAGGCCCGATCCCTAGCTTGGTCCATACATAATTGATAAGGTATATGAGTACGATCTTTATAGTATGAGTAATAAAGATAATACTCTATTAAAGAGATAGTATAACGGGTGTAACCTCAAGCCCTACTTCCAAAAATCTAATATTGGGGAAGAGGAAAAAGAAAATACCGATATTGAAATAATATTATATAAAGAACCGGATATTTCCCCGTTACCTTCCTTACCTTGCTACAAATAATGCATGGAAGAAATATCATGTTCAGAGGCTAGGCATTCCTCATTCGTCATCAAGAATAAAAAGCCATCGAATTAAGAATTTAAGTTATCCACCTAAATTTGAGGCCGTTCTTGGTGTGACGGAAATTGTTATTATCGCTGCTTGAGCAAAGAGATCACAGGCAGCGAGGATCACCATGCAATTATAAGGGGATCTATAATCTCTTATATGATGTTGTTGGAAAATAATGATATTTTTACTGATTTTATGGGGAAGGACATAATAAAACATTTGGTTGATACAAAAAAACATTAACTTGGAACGTGGGCGGATGAATTAGATATCGTAGCATCTGCTACGTTTTTGCAGACGCCAATTATTATTTATTGTAAAAATGGTAATGAAATGAAATATATTACATATTCTGCATTATCAAAAATGGACTGTATAAAAATTTTAATTTAAATATATATTGATAAATGCATCTTTAGATCATTTTAATCGTATTAGAGTGTAATATACACTCAATTTTTTGTGATAATTATGTTTCCTTTTTTGGGATATATTTTCTTTTTATAATATTTTTCTTGTTTTTTTGAAATAAAATTATGTATATCCTTTTTATTTAAATAGTATTAAGAAATCAGCCAGTTTTAATATTGCAATAAAATATATATATACAAACAAAAATAGTGGTTTCAGTTTAAAAGAATAATTTAAACATTAAGATTTAATTTTAAACTTTATTTTTTATCTGTATAAAAAATTTTGTATTCCATAATCATAAGTGTTAAATTTTAATCAGCTAAAAATATAATTATATATACATCTAATAAATAAAATGACGATTTTAAGAAGCCAAGAGGAAATGATTAATCAGAGTGATAGATAGTGATTGAGATGCTTTGACATAATAGAAAACCTTATTTTTGTGATTTGCTTACTTTTATCTATTAAAATTTTAAGACTTGAGATTCCAATAATACGAATGAAGAAAATTTGTATACATTTTATTTATTTAAAATTTTCTGCAATAATTATATATACATCTAGTAAATAAAATGACGATTTTAAGAAGCCAAGAGGAAATGATTAATCAGAGTGAGTGATTGAGATCCTTTGACGTAATAGAAACCCTTATTTGTTTGTGATTAGCTTACTACTTTTGTCTATTAAAATTTTTAGGCTTGAGATTTCAATAATATGATGTATGAAGAAAACTTGTATATATTAAACAAATAAAATTTATATAGGATATTAACAGAGTAAACGCTACTTTTAAAAGTAGCGCGCTACCGCTATCAATATTTGTCTAAAAGAGTAGCTCGCTATTAGCTACTATTTTTTAAAAGTAGCTTAAGCTACTTTTTATAAAAAAAATTACAAACAAATTTTTTATTTTTTGCTTATAATGTTATTGTATAGTAAATATATAAAAATCAACATTTATAAATATTAAAATATAGTTTGATTATAAAAAAATTTGTGTAATAAAAATAAATATTTATGGTAATTTGTTGCATTTTAATAATAAAATCATTTCAAAATTATCATCCCCAAGTCTAGAGCGACGATCAGAAAGTATAAGTTTTGCCTTATTAAATAATCTCTCGACACTAGCATTTGAGGGTAAGGGCGTATTTAATCTTATATACATATTTTTAATATAAGATAGATTATCAATAATTTTATTTGCAAGTACATCGTATGTCTGGCATCCTATTATCATTTTGAGGGCTAATGCCATAGATCTTCTTTTTAAAGTTCTAGGGTCTAGCCAATGGCCTGTGATTCCCAAATAAGCTCAAAAATATTTAATCAGATCAATTTATAAATATAAATAAGTTTTTACCTTTTGTTATGTGTTCAACTATCTCCCGTGGTACATATATATGATATCTCTGATAACTCTACTATTAGAGCATCTTTCATCATTTTAAAGTTATCTGCTATTTTATTCATTAGTGTCTGGCGGCATAAAATTGTTGTACCAAGGGATAGAGTTTTAATCATCATGGTAAATGATGGATTATCAACTAA